AGTAGTAAACAGTTTCAAGGCTTGAATCACAGAATACAGAAAGTCGCTAGATGGGAGTGGGATTTGAAGCAATGTTTCCTCATTACACTGGCCTAACTCCTTAATCAGTAGGGACGTGTTGAATCTTCTGTAACACTCCCTTGTTAGAACGGAAGATTACACAGAAATACTTTGAGAAGTCTAAATAATTTTATTTCATGCCATTTGGGATGTTTAGTTTTCAATGACAAAAGTGTGCATAGTTTCAAGGTTAACTGAATACATCTCAGGAAGACTACAATCCTGGATCCTTTAAGTACCTTTTCCGCTGGAAAAGTGATGGCCACCTAATTAGCTTGGATTAGCTCAGAATCATGTAAGAATCTCCCAACTCAGACAATTGTAACTACTATTCACACATGGAGGAAAACACACTGTGGTGTGACGTAAGAGTAAGATGCAAGTAAACACTATGAAGAGGAATTAACCGAGCCCTAGATCTGTCTGAAGACTAGCACCGTTACATAGTCCATCCCCTTGGTAAGCTAGTGTCCTGCTCAACGTGCCGTACGCCAAGTCCCTGAAATGGCACCCCTGCACATGGAGTCTCCACCAATGGGGTCTGGAATCCCCTTTCCCTGGGCTACATTCTACTTTTTGATGCATACAGATTGGCTCTAAGTGGTCTCTTTAAAGTAGAACAGAGTTTTTAGGTCACCTGGAGTTCAAAATAGAACAAACAGCTAGCAATTTTTCTTGCCCTAATGACCTAGATCCCAAATTTCAGAACCTAAGAAACTCTACTCAAAGTCTAAACAAGAGAACCCTTTAAACAATGTGACAAATACACAGGATGAAGGCATCCGTATCTCTTAAAACCTTTTATGCCTCTCTCATTCCTTAGCACCTTCTGTTTAGCCCGTGGCAACTCTGAATATGAAAATAACTGAGGGCTAATGTTGAGAGTCCAGAATGACTTGGAGAAATAAGACAACAGGGAAAGGTAGAGGATCTGGTCTCAAATAAGGGACTGTCTTTCCTGGCTCTTGTGGAGCCAGTGACAACCCAGTTGCAAAGGGCTAATTCTGAATTCAACGTGAACCATCCCAGGCACTTTAACCACAGAAAGGGAAGAATTTAATCAGTAATTTACACAACAAGTCAATTTAAAAAGCAGTCTTATTTGCTTAGCTGAAGTTCAAGACTGTAAGATCCTGTGGGCAGGTCACAGAACTAGCTGTACAGAGCACTAAAGTCAGGAATCAATTACAGACACTTTTACCCTATGCTTAGAACTTTGCTAAGAATACTTGATTTAGGATTTTTAAAAGGTTAAGAATTTTTAATCAATCTTGGCATGGAAGAACTATTATATAAACCAAAGCAACTTAATACAGGCATACCTCATTTTACTGTGCTTCTTAAAAATTCCAGGTTTGTGGGAACCCTGTTGTTGAGCAAGTCTATCAGTGCCATTTTTCCAACAGCACGTGCTCACTTTATGGCTCTGTGTCACACTTTGGTAACTGTTCAATATTTCAAATGTTTTCCTTATTATTATATCTGTTAAGGTGATCTGTGATCAGAGATCTTTAACATTACTATCGTAGTTGTTTTGGGGTGCCATGAACTGCACGGTGAACTGAATCAATAAATGCTGGGTTCTGACTGGCTAGTCCCACATCTCTCTCCCTCTCCTCCCTATTCTGAGACCAAAAAAAAATATTGAAATTAGGACAATTATTAACGCTACAGTGGCCTCAAAGTATTCAAGTGAGAGGAAGAGTTGCATGTCTTTCACTTTAAATCAAAAGCTAGAAATGATTAAGCTTAGCAAGGAAGGCATATCAAAAGTCAAGACAGGCCCAGAGCTAGGTCTCCTGCTCCAAACAGTTAGCCAAGTTGTGAATGCAAAGGTAAACGTTCTTGAAGGAAATTAAAAGTACACATGAATGATAGATAGGAAAGTCAAACAGCTTTATGGCTGATATGAAGTTTTAGTGGCCTAGTTAGATCAAACTGGCCACATCATTCCCTTAAACCAAAGCCTAATCCAGAGCATTCTTATTCTTTTCAATTATCTGAAGGCTGAGAGAGGTGAGAAAGCTGCAGAAGAAAAGTTGGAAGCTAGCAGAGGGTAGTTCAAGAGATTTAAGGAAAGAAGCCATCTCCATAACATAAAAGAGTAAGCAGCAGCAGCAAGTGCCACTGGAGAAGCTGCAGCAAGTTATTCAGAAAATCTAGCTAGGATCATTAATGAAGGTGGTTACTAAACAACAGAGTTTCAATGTCCATGAAGCAACCTTCCATTGGAAGAGGTGCCATCTACGGGACTTTCATAGCTGAAGAGAAATCAAAGCCTGGTTCCAAAGCTTCAAAGGACAGGCTGACTCTCATTAGGAACGAATGCAGCCGGTGACTTAAAGTTGAAGCCAATGCTTATTTACCATTCCTAGGGCCCTTAAGAATTATGCTAAATCTCCTCTTCCTGTGCTCTATAAATGGAACAACAAAGCCTGGCTGACAGCCTGTCTGCTTACAGCATGGTTTACTGAATATTTTAAGCCCACTGGTGAGACCTACTGCTCAAAAAAGATTCCTTTCACAATGTTTCTGCTCACTGACAATGTACCTGGTCGATCAAGAGCTATGACAGAGATGTACAAGGAGATGAACGTTGTTTTCATGCCTGCTAACACAACACCATCCTGCAGCCCGTGAATCAAGGAGTTATTTCAACTTTCAAGCTCTTATTTAAGAAATATATTCTGTGACACTATAGCTGCAGAAACAGTGATTCCTCTGATGGATCTGGGCAAAGTAAATTGAAAACCTTCTGGAAAGAATTCATCACTCTAAATGCCACTGAGAACATTCATGATTCATGAGAGGAGTTCAGAATATCAACATCAACAGGAATTTGGAGGAAAATGATTCCAAGTCTTATCGATGACTTTGAGGGGTTCAAGACTTCAGTGGAGGAAATAACTGCAGATGTGGCAGAAAAAGCAAGACAACTAGATTTAGAAGTGGGGCCTGAAGACATGAATGAATCCGGATTTGAGAGGATTGATTCCAGTGTTGAAAGACAGTTCTACTGTGGGTCAAATGCTATCAAACAGCACTGCATACTAAAGAGAAATCTTTGCGTCGATACAGCAAACTTCACTGTCTTATTTTAAGACATTGCCAAAGCCACCCAACCTTCAGCCCCCACTGCCCTGCTCGGTCAGCAGCCATCGACGCTGCGGCAAGACCCTCCTCCAGCAAGAAGATTAGGATGCGCTAAAGGCACAGGTGATCTTCTACATTTTTCGCCACAGAATATTTTTTAGTTAAGAGATGTACCTTGTTTTTTAGACACAATGCTATTCCACACTTAATAGACTACAGCACAGCGTGAAGATAACTTTTGTGCGCACTGGGAATTGCGTCACTGTGATGTCACTTTATTGCCGCCACCTAAAACCACACCTGTGATATCTTTGAGGTGCGAGTGTACCTCCAGAAAAAAATATCCAGCGATTAAAATTCACAACTATGTAAATACTGAGATGACATATAGGGAAGGTCTTGACGCAATTACCTTACCACATAATATTTCAGTAGCAAACCAGGACCAAGCACACTATTAGGCACTAAATGACCTGATAAATTCCAAAATCACTCCCTGGAGCCCGCAAACTGACAGAGTCATCTTTGACATACTTACTTCAACAATTACATTTAAAATGATTATGGGAATAAAATTTCCCACTGTTCTGTTACAAGAAACAAGGGTAAAAATATACTTAAAGTGTATCAGGTTTAGAGAAGGAAATATTGCACAGCCATACAAAAGCTGCCTGCAACTTAAGGCAGTATCAATATTGTTAAACCTTCAAAAGTATTACTTTAAGGTTGTTTGGGAGTCTTCAAGCAATAAATCTTTCTTATTAGAATCTTCTTAGAAACAGTAATTAAACACATTGTACTATGTAATAGATTATTCTAAGTTTTAGTTGACCAATGAGACCAAGAAGTCGAAGACACCAAGCATGTGCCTGATGCCCATCCTACACAAGTTCTCTCCGAAAACTGGAGGAATTCCACTGCGCGAACATTAAACGTGGTGGTAAGCCGACTAGTGTATGAGACCCCTTGGTGAATAATTGATACCAATTCATACTAACTTAATACAGATTAATTAGTATCCTATACTGATTTACACCCAAATTTAAAACTCTCACTACTAAAGAGTAAGGGATGAGTAATACAGGATTTCTAAGGTTAAATGGAAATTGTTTTTCCACAGTTTTAAAAGATAAACCTCAAAAGGCCATTTATTCTAAATTTAGAAACTAGTCATCTTTTTCTTTAGGCAGAAATCATAAATATTAACCACTTTGTACTTAAAACTATACATCTCACAAATGAGTAGAAACAGGTTTCATCTACTTTGTCTTTATTCCCTAAGACAAAGAATGATTTAGCCAAAAGGATATATAGAAAAATTAATGTCCAAATAAGTAATACCCATAAAGAGCACCTAGTCTTGTCAATTTTTGTGATGTCAATAGAGATGTACAATAGCCAAACTTTTCTCTCGGAAGTCTGGTAGAAGGAAATCATACTCTACTTCTCTATTCTCTACTACTACTACTCTGTGCTACCCCAAAGGAACCCTCTCTTTTCTTTAAGGTAATGTACATTTTTGACTCAAGAGCCAAGCATCTGATCTGATCATATTTTGATAAGAGATTCCTGTGGAATTAAAAATTATAAGCTATTAATACATAACTGATAAGCATAATATCAAGGATAGCTATGTGACATTTTACTACTTTTGCAAACTGCTTTTACAGAAATAGCTGCCTGTGAAATTTTCAGAAGCTCCAGCTATGATCAAATGCAGCTAGGATATTGCCACAGAAGGTGGCTGGGGAATGAATCAAGAGAGTTGTTTGTGTTTCTTTCTTAAAACAGGAAAAAAGCAACCTGTCTGTAGTTTTTGAAGATGCATAAGAAAATTAGTTTCTCACCTTCTGGTATTTCTGCCACCATTTATAGGAACACTGGTCTTCCCATGATACAGGTTTTGAAGGAAATATCTGGCATTTATTGAGGGATTCTAACTGAACTGCAGACATGGTTGAAGGCAATACACATTCGGGAAGAATTTGCACTTTAGCTTGCTGGATTCTAAAATAAAGAGAATCAAGAATGGTGTTCCATTTTTAAGATTAACTCAAACTATAAGTTTCTAAACATTGATAATTTTAAATACTAAGATTTTCAAAGTCTTCTTTTTAAACATATTCATCAAATGCTGATGTTAAGACATTTTCAGAAAATAACTTTATTTCATAAATCATACCAACATTAAAACCAAAGATAACCTAAGGTATATATTTTAAATCTCACTGTGGAATGGAAAGGGAGATCTTTACATTTCAGATAAATACAGAGTCTATAAATGAAACAAAGTATTAAAAAAACATACAACCAACTACTGCTTGATACCTATAAATTAATTTCTTAGACATTCTTAGATATCCCAACCCCCCCTTGTTGCCGAACTCTTACACCTACCCTTTCTCATAAATCATGCAAACTGAGGAACAGATAGAAAAATGAAGAGAAAAATCAAGAAGCCATTTACAGGGATGAGTTAAAATAAGACTAGGGAATTACATGTAGCTTTTATTTCTGTGTGTGTTCCTTTTCTCATTCTTAAAAGTTTAACTTTAACATTCTAAGATTCAAAGGATCAAAATATACATATTATCTATTTCACTTAAAAATTAAATTCTTATGATAGTCATCATTTCCAAAATGTTACTTGAAAATGTCATAATTGCAAGCATCACAAACTAATGCAAACAGGACATTTGAACCTGTGAGCTACTTTCCTATGAGGAGGCATTATATCTCTTAGAGTGTAGCTTTTGAAATGTTATGTAACTACATTCAAATGCTAGAGCAAAACACTGTCAGATTGATAAATTCAAATATATTAAAAGTCTGTTTCATTATTAGTTATATTTACGACTTCTAAAGTGTTCTTTCATAACTACTGTTCTGACCACAAAATGTTATGAATGAAATTCTGATATTGCCACTGATTAAAAGAAAACTACCAAGTTTGTCTGAAAATATCTAAGGTTAATTTCATGATATTAGACTCATCCTATTAACTTTAGTTCCTTCCTTGCAAGCTCATTAAACCACTTCGGTATGGTGCTCACCGGCCGCAAAACTTTGCCTGCCCACAGCCGGCACTCACAGTCCGCACGATAGCTTGTGCTGTGCATTGACAACGAATCCGTTTTGCTCTTGTGTGATGAGGAAAGCTTGAAAGCACTGAAAGCTTGTTTTACTTTACAGGCAGCTTTACTTGTCATGTAAATCAGAATAGGTAACATATACATATATGCTTTCATTACGTTACTTTTAAATGTTCACAATTTTATTTTGATAAATGAAAAATTAGAAAAGTCAATTCAAAATTACAGACTAAAGTCAACGCTTGGCGGTGCACCTTCTTAACGGCTGTCGGCTACAGTCGCTGTGCACGTTCATCTGTGGCTGTCAACTGTGGTCGACGCTCGTACCGAAGTGGTTGAAATACTCAGAAAATTTAACATTTTTATGACTTTGGAAAATGTTAAAATATTTTACTATGTTCAAACTATGGTCAAATGTTCTTATATTATTAGAGCTCACTGAAAACAAACCAAATTTCAATTTTCTTCACCTGATACACGAACATAAATAACCTGATAATTATATTCTTAAGGTCAAAGTATATACCATCCTATAGAAATTTTTAAAAATCTGATTCTTATTTAAGGTTATCGGTAACTGGATTAAGAATTATGTTTTACCCAACTGCAGCATAAGACATTATACTATTATGATAAAACAATAATGCTATCAAACTCCTGGCTTATAGATAATGTTAATAATTATTCTCAGTACAAGCTGTCTGAAATTGCCTTGCAGAATTAAAGAGCGCTCTCTTTTAGCCCCGTCAAATATGCCCAGGGTCTGCTGCATGCACACAGGGCTGGTTCTTCCCCCAGCAGCTGAGTTTTGTTTTTACTATAAGCTACTTTTTTTTCTTCCCAACCTGTTTCTGGCAGTTGTTATCTGATTATAGTAACGTAATTTATATAAATGTTACAAAACCAGTGAAATATGAATATAAAAATAAAATTGTTTCAAGGAACACAGACATAAAAAACTGCTTTCAAAGTAGGGACAGATAGCTCTAATAGTAGGGAAAAAAATTACACAAATCTGGAAGGATTCTGCACTCAAATTGCCTTGTGACTATCTTTAGAATCTCTCTTTAAAGGAAAACTAAGTATAAACTATAGATAGATGATACAGAATGAAAGTGCCAGAAAGTCTACAGCCATCTCTAATCTAAAGACCCACTTCAAAGAAAAGACCTTGTCTCTCCGTCAAATGAAAAATGAATTAATACATTTATAAATTTTAAGTTAAAATGTTGAAGGTATGTATGTGTAACTTTTTGTAATTCCCAGCTTTAACTTTAATTTTCTTCTGTCACCTTAGCTGGAGTGCAGTGGCGTCACTGTGGCTCACAGCAACCGCAAACTCCTAGGGTCAAGCAATCCTCTTGCTTCAGCCTCCCACGTAGCTGAGACTACCAGCACACACTATGATCCCCAGCTAATTTTTCTATTTTCGGTAAAGATGGAATCTCACCTTGCTTGGGCTGGTCTTGAACTCCTGAGCTCAAGCAATCCTCCTGCCTCCGTCTTCCAGAGTGTTAGGATTACATGCGTGAGCCATGGTGCTAGGCCAAGTTAGCTTTTTTGATTAACAATTACTGGTCTCAATTATGACAGGTAAGGGGTATTCTCTTGTAATTCCAATTAAGTAATCCCCTTCTCCTCTGTAACATGCTAAGAAATACTCCAGAATTTCTGAAGAGTCTTACAGTGAGATTCTGCAGAGATTTTACTGCAGAAAAGAAAACTAGCTCGAGTTTCAAGTGTGCTATGCAGAAATTTTGGTATAGTGGAAAGAGCACTAGTTTGGGAATCAGGAGTCCTAGAACCAACCAGCTCTGTCACTTACTAGCTGTATGACTCTACACAAATTACTTAACCTCTCTAGTACTTGGCTTCCTTATTTCAAAAAAGAGTAGACTGAACTAGATTAAATTCATGGTTTTTTTTTTTTTTTCATAACTTCACCAAGGTGTTTACAGGACCAGAGGAACAGTAGAGACAGAGAACTCATATTCCAAAGGGGCCTTTTAAATTAAGACAGCCACGCCTTAATGAGAGAACTTAACAGTGGGTCTATGGAATGCTACAGAGAATGTGCCCTTTCCAAGTCTAGTCCAGACCCAGCAGTTTGATGTTACATATACTCCTTGATTTGTTTTCAAAGTTAATGATCTACTGCCATCTTGTGTTCAAAAGAGGTTTTCCACGATTAAAATGTACTGATGTCAAGATAGTCTGAAAAACACACTTTTCCCCAAGATGATTTTCTTTTATGGTTTCTGGAAAATAGTATTCACAAATAATCAAAATTGTATAAGGATAAGAAGTACTTTCAAAATGGAACTGTTAGAAAAATCCACAGCAACAAAACAGTTTGCTGACTATCACCATGGAGAGCCCTCAGGAGATAGGAGATCCTTTCATTCATTCACTCGTGAAACATTTACGGTCCTAAATGTAGAACATACGAAAGTCTCACTCACTGTTCTCAAGCAGCTCATCTACTGAGGGAGAGAGACAAACAATCCTATAAGGAAAGTACAATGTGGTAAGGGCTGTAAGAGTTTTGCACAATGAATATTCCAGAGAAGTACCAGGAGAGAACTTAAACCCCATAAGAGCTTTGGCAACCCCATCCCACATTCCTCTACACTTTCTCTAGCCCTAAAAGGCTGCCTGACCCATCTATATTTTCATAATTCAATAATTAGAAATGCCCACTATGTAAAGAAAACAGACAAAAAATTCCTTCCCTCATGCAGTTCCATTCTTTTTTAACTTAAAAAAAAAAATCCACCAAATAACCAAAACTCTGAATTTCCATGTTTTCAGAAGATATTACCTGTGCAACACACAGAAGTCTGATGAGATTTTCAACTCTGGCTACAGATCAGAGACCAATTCACTAGGACTGGGTGGAATCCGAGTATCTGTATCTGTAAGACTTCACAGTCGGTGTGCCAGGTTGAGAACCGCTCTCGTTAGAAATAACATCCAATGATCAAGATAAATGCTTTGTTTTGTGTTGTTTTTTAACAAAGAATAAAGGTAAACTGGTTTTTAAAAAAAATTATAGTATTCCTTGAACTTGTGAAAAAACCTAACCATGAGAGCTGTGTCAAAATGAGTAACTGCTAAAACAGTATGCTCTGGGAATTCCTAATCTTTATAAGGCGCAGAGACAAGTATTAGTAAATAATTGTTATGTAAATAGCATTTCTGGGTGCCAAAAAATTCACACTGGAGAGGGGCACTAAATACTAAAGGCTTGTACAGCTCAAATGGAGCAGTTGGTGGGTGTAGCCAGCACGGCGTCAAACATCAATCACAAGAATGCCGCAAACACCGCAGCTGTCCAGTGAGCACCGAGCGCTCCACGGCCTCTGGTCTCCCCACTTTACTACAGGCCGAAGAGAGGTCCTCCATCCCAAAGAAGCCACGTCCCAAATGATACTTCGCTTTGGGTTTACGATACTGTTCTTAAACCTGGAGAGACATTCGAATCACCTGAAAATTATTTTTAAAACATGCTGCAGCCTCATCCCAGGCCAAATCACTCTCAGGGGTTGGGAGATGAGGGTGGACCTCAAGCTTCTACAGTTTTAAAAACTTCCCAGGTGATTCTTATGCACAGAAAAGTTGAAAACCACTATTTTCGAAGGGAAAAAGAACAATGAGTTAAAAGTTAAAAAATATAAAGGATCAGTAGAATAGAGAAAATGTAAAACCATTTCATTATAAGATGTTCACAAAGCTTTAAGATATATGTTATTTCTTACCCATCTGATTGTGTTCTGAGCTCAAGGACTTTGAACCTTTGCCTTCCAACTGCTTTCACTTTCACTATCTCAATTCCAAAATCCTGTTCTTCTCGGTAGGCGTATATCTCTGCTGTTGTTCCAAACTGTGCTTCCCTTTCCTGTATGTTACTTCCAAGATAAAATTTAAAAGGAAAGAGTTTTGAACATTTGACTTTTAAATATGTAAAGTTGGCAAAAGCAATACATATGGAAAAACAATTTATAGTAATCAACCTTCATTGCAAAGCTAGTATAATTTTATTTATTTAAAAACCACATGTGAGATATATAAGGAGGCTTCAGGAAGTAAAATGAGAGCACTTTAGGGAAAGAATAGATATCTAGTCACTGCAAATGATCTAGGACTGATAAGGTTTTAAACTCTCCTTTCCCAAATCAGCCCTCTTTCACTTTGTTAGATCATCGTTTCTGCTGATTAGCAGCACTGTACTAGGGTGGGGAACTTCCTGTACTTATTTCCTGCTTCTACCACAGATTTCCTACATTTGCCGTGGGATACTTGAAGTTCAGCTTCAATTTGCCACTGGTTTGTAACTGTACAACTTGTGAATTTTGAAAGAGAAGGGAAGAACAAATCACACTTTTGGACAAGTAATCCTTAACGTTAGAATAGGAAAGCCCTGTTTCTCCTTGGATAAAGACAGCTCTTGAAACTAAGATTCCAGAAATGTTTTCCATTAAATAGTAATGATTAAAAATTTCTCAAATACCAGAAAGTTAAATTGTGCAAGAAGATAAATGTCTGATTTAGTATGGTAATGAAAATAACAAAAACACTCCAACTTGTACTTTCAAAATTTTACGCAAAATTCTTTATCTCACGTTCTCACCCGACCTCTCCTATACATGCAAAATAATAGTCTGCTTTAACCTCAACATTGACCTCTGCTGCCTGCCATGGCACATGGGAGGAAATGTGTTAAGCGATTTACTCTTAATATTTTACCTGTATGCAAGAACAGCAAAGGTTCTATCTTTCTGAATTAAATTCCGAACCATACTGACTTCTTGAGGGCTAAAAAGCTGAAGAGGTAATGTCTGCCCAGGAATCAGGATCATCATCACCTGTGGCAGAACTGGAATAACCTGACAGCTGTCATCATCATGCAAAGTCCTGCCATGAAATTCTTCCATGTCAGAGCCCAGATACTATTTAAGAACATACATAGGTACAGTGTCAGGATAGATATGTAGCAAAAACACAAGCTCAACAGACTAAAGAACAAATCAGATAAAAAGAATATGAACAGAGGGTACAAATATTTGTTTAAATAATAAACTTGGTATATAAACATACCACATGAAGAGCTAGTTTTTAATCTAATTTTTACTCTTAGAAATAGAATTTCCAATCATTTATGAAGAATCTCTCACATTCAAGAGCATTTTTTAATTCAAAATATTTTATTTTGACTAAGAAACATCTCTATGCCCAAATATCACAAATGACAAGTATAAAATGTTAGTATGTTAAATAACACCCCAGTACCTAGTAGTACAGAGAGTAAGTACTTAATAGCCCAATTACTAGCAAAACCATAAGGAGAGCAATAATTCCTTAAAACAATTACACTAGGACATAATATTAACCTGCTTAAAAATTATAGTTATATGTTTATCTAATGGCAAAGAGCCATGTCCTCATCCACAGTTTCTAGAGAGAAGTAAAAGCCAGTAATGCTAACATAAGTCACTTGGTTTTAGGAACTGACGTTAATAGTTACATGTATATCATATTAGATCTGTTATTAAATTACATACTGTATGTGATGTTGGCAGACTGGTGTCAAAATTTATGACATTTGGTTTTTTGGCTTCTTTGCTATCCTGGTCCTCAACTTCCATTTCAATTTCATCTTCTTCCTCATTCTCTGCTATAGAAACACAGTATCGTAAGGAAAAAAAAAAACAAGATATGTGAAAATGTCAAAGCTATGCACCCTCTCAAATACATAATTTCTTCTTGAGCAAAGGGGTTCTTCTAAACACTACATACAACTGGTAGCTCTACAGCACTGCGGAGAGGCTGCCAGAGGGCTAGGGTGTATGCTGGGCTCTATTACTAGCTACTTTTTTTTTTTTTTTTTACAAATTAACTTTTTATTTTAGAATAGCTTAAGATTTACAGAAAAGATGCAAAGACAGTACAGTGTTCCCATACGGCCCACATCCGTTGTCCCCTATAGCTAACATCCTATATTAGTATGGTACGTTCGCCACAACTAAGGAATCAACATCGTCACATTACTATTAACTAAACTCCACATTTTATTTGGATTGCCTCAGTTTTAACCCAAGCCCCTTCTTCTGTTCCAGCAACCCGTCCATTCCACCACACTACATTCAGCTGTCGTATCTCCTTGGCCTCCTCTGGGCTGGGTGGTTTCTCAGACTTTCCTTTTTCCTGATGCAGTTTTGGGGAGTACTGGCCAGCTTGTTTTGCAGAGTAACCCTCAATTAGGGTTTCTTTGGTGTAATTCTTGTGATTAGACTGGGGCTATGTATTTTGGGGAAGAACACCACAAAAGTGACGTGCCATTTTCACAGCATGTCAAGCGTACATCAGCATGTCAAGCGTACATACTATCAACTTGACTTAGCCCTGCTTATGTTAACCTTGATCACCCAGCTGAGGTAGTTCTTTGTCAGGTTTCTCCACTGTAAAATTACTCTCCCCCTTTTCATATCATACTATTTGGAAGCCAATAACTAGGTTCAGCCTACACTTAAGGGCGAGGAGTTGTGCTCCACTGCCTCGCAGGGGAACTATCTATATAAATTATTTGTCATTCTTCTGTATGAGAGATATTTCCCTTCTCCCTTGCTAGTAACTAATTTTAACCTTAGCCAACTTATTCCACTTGATTAAACCTTAGTTTCCTCTTCTGAAAAATGACAGGCTTGAACAAGACATCTCAAAGATTCTTTCAAACTTATAATTTTAAACAGTTCCTTCATAAGAAAGGAAGAAAAGAAATAAAGCAAGCAAGAAGATCTGTTAATTAAAATTGAAAAAAGATAACACCATAACCTGGGAGACTTTCATAACATTTTTCCAGTGACACCACTTCCCTGGCTGACTGCATTTAAAAATGAAATGTTTGTAAACCTTCTCATACACATTTTGCTCTGTAATTTTAGGTTTAAAATAAAGCTGGCATGAAGCATGAAGCATAGTTTAAAAGAAATGTCTTAGAAGGCTTTCTCCACACATTTTTTAAATGATGAAAACTAAGCTGATCTGTTTTATAAAGCTGATGTTACCAACGACAGGGATGAAAGTCAGAAAAAGCTACACAGTACAGCTGCTATTCTATTAAGTGGGAGTCCGTCCTTTTCATGCCGACTATGGGTAAATTTCCTATCTTAGACCAGGGATTCTCCATTAGCGGTGATCATGCCCTCAGGGGACGCTATTTGTCACAACTAAGGGAGCTGCAATGGCATCTTGTGGGAAGAGGCCAGGGTGCTGCTAAATATGCCACACTGCACAGGACAGTCCCCACACAAAGAAATTTCCAGCTCAAAATGTCACGAGTGCCGAGGTTAGGAAACTCTGGCCTAGATTAATGATAAAGAATAATCTCTTTTCTGACCTCACAGTTCATATATTTTTAAATGCCCCAAGTTAAACACCTAAAAAGATAAAATGTCTTTACAAAACAGTCATTTTTTTCTTTTATGCATATCATTATATTTAAGTCAAACCACCTCTACCTAAGAAACAGAAAACACAAATGTTTTTCAATATGGTAACTGCTATAGACCTTCTATGTATTCTTATATATTCTTGGATATAAGGCTTTATCAATTATTTCAACTTATAGGCAAACAGTCAATGGTCTATCACTTCATATAAATTTTTCCTAAGAACATGTAAGTTTCACAAAGAGATAAAGAAAAATCTAAACTGAGGAGAAAGATGTTCTGCATCTAATTCTTTGTATTTATAACTCTGAACGCACGGCTTTCACTTAGCATGTGGTGAGACCCACTTTCCTGCTCTAATACAGAAAGTTTAAAAGATTAACTATTAGCTCAAAGGCTGGAATTAATATTTTTTAAAGTTTACATTTTAACTCTTCTAATTTTAGTCTAGTCTCTAAACAATTTCCTTAGTAGCCTTTCCCATAAATATGGCTAAAACCCACTTCCCCTGACTCTGCTATGTTTATCTACTAATGTTCCATCTGGCCAGGATAGATTCTTCACATCTCAAATATAAAGCTATTTCCTGAGCACTTAAAGAAAATTACTCTTCAAAACAACTCATGCAACATGGATTTATGGACAATCCAATGTTTCTGTACAAATTAAAAAAACTCACATATAATCGGAGAGTATTATTGCTACATCTACAACACCTCTGGGCCCTCTCACCTCTGATTTTTTTCCCGAGAAAACAAACACAGTTTAGAGCAGGCGTCCTCAAACTATGGCCCATGGGCCACATGCGGGTGTTTTTGCCAGTTTGTTTTTTTACTTCAAAATAAGATATGTGCAGTGTGCACAGGAATTTGTTCATAGTTATTCTTAAACTATAGTCCGGCCCTCCAATGGTCTAAGGGACAGTGAACTGGCCCCCTGTTTAAAAAGTTTTGAGGAACCCTGGTTTAGAGCTACCAGGATGAAGTCTGATGACTCATCTCATGCAGAGGCATCCTGTGAATGCCAACAGAACATCAGTATCCTCTCTCTCCTATTCAGCATTCTCCCTGAAACACTGAATTTGGCACATGCAAAGTGGGACTGATTTCTCTGAAGAAAATAAAAAACACAGCTCCGCTTTTCTGCTGAAGGCTGGCACACTTACCTTTATGTAAATTCAGTTAGGATGGCTTCAAGAACCACCACTGATTCTGTGGTTTATTTTTATAGAAAAGTTCCCTCCTAGATGGTGGGCATACTCCCAGTCTCTTCCTCTTTCAATCCATGCTACTCCAAGTGAACAACTTAATCTTGCAAGCAGAGCTTTCCTTAGGCAACTAACTGAAACCCAGTATTGTTTCTTGGCAATCTACAGAAAAAAACCCAACCTCACTGGTAAGAGACGCAAGTTCCCCAACTACTTAGACCCGACCTTCTTCCTGGGCCTCATCTTCCACAACCTTATCCTAAGTGTATGGCTTTGGATGCTTCCAGATCGACCTCACAAAGCTTTTCCCCAATTCCTCTGACCCCTGAACAATCCGTCCCTCCCTCTGAACCACCAAATAGCATTCATTTATCTGGCCCTAAATCACCTGCCTCTGCTAGTTATATTCTCAGTAGCCTCACCTGGACTGTGAACCAAGTACCAGACTGTGTATCATACCTCTTTTCATTCCCACAACACCTAACATACTGCCTGGCATATAGAGAAGGGAGCAAGCCAGTCTCAGTCTGGATGATACACTTCTTGGAAAGCATCTCTTGCCTACAGCATTCCATACAAAGTTTGTGCAATTATTCCATTCCTTTTCTCTATTCAGTGTTCCAACACAAGGCCAAGGTCTAAAATTTCACAAAACACACAGGAAAGAGAAAACTGAGTTTAACATCACACTCTTGTGTATGTCTAACTAAGTATATTTGTATATGCCTAAGAAAAACAGACCAAATACTGACAAGTACAGACTAAACAGAGAAGGGGTTAAGAGACACCCGCTATGCTGACAGATAAACCCGGGTTGGAGTCCCGGCTCTGCGACTGTGTGACCTTGGGCAAGTCACTGAACCAATCTGCCAATTCATTTCTCGCCTACCGAATCGGAATCCGAATCGTGATGTGGAAAGGATTAAACGCAGAAATGCATGCCAAATGCTTACTGCAGGGCTCGTAACGTGATGTAAGTGCTTAATACTTATCAGCCGTCACTCTCGTCGAAGGGAAAGAGTCCAGGGAAACCGACGGCTGCTAGCCTGACCAGTGCCCCCGTTTCCGAGCACGTCCTCGGAGCTAAGCTCAGGGCACGAGGAGGGGAAGAGGACTAGGGAGCGAAGCGCCCTGCCCGCGCCGGCCCGCGGCGACCGGGCAGGGACGGACGCTCTGCAACCGGGGCCGACGCGAAACCGCCGCCCGGGGCGGCCCTACGGGGCCGGCCGGCCTCGCGCGCCCGCCGCCTCCCCGGCCCCGCGGCCCGCCGGCTCCGGGCCTCGCCCCCCGCCCGCCGCCGGGCACCCGCCCCGGCCGGTTACCAGGCAAGAGCGGCAGGTGGTTGCCCATGTTGTGCGCAGCGTCCTGCGGATCTCCCTCGCCAGCCATGTCTGTTTACCCGCAAAGGACGACGGGACAGGGCGGCGCCCGAGACGCCGGGGAAGGGTCCGCGCCGAGCCGCGCCGCCGCCGCGCACCGGGCCACAGCGTCCCCTGGCGGCCCCAGCGGGCGGCGCCGGCCCAGGCCGGCCAGACTGCAGCTCAGCCACCGACTTGAAGGCCGGCGTGGACATTACAGTTACAGAGCCTTGACTTGTGACTTGTCCCAGCGTCTGCCATGACCCAGTTGATCATGACATGTCACATACGGAGCGTTCTTAAACGAAGGAGCAAACAGAAACATGTTTCTACAGCATTAGCTCCTAGTCTTAACACACACACACACACACACACACACACACACACACACACACACACACACACGAGAATGTGTGTGGAGACTGGGAAAATGCATTCGTTTTTCTTTCGAAGGGTGGTTGAAATATAGCTGATTTTTTCCCCAGCGACTTCATTAGTCTCCATATACGTATATTCCAAATTTAAAACATATTAATCAGAAACAAATACTTGATGATTATATAGAATGGAAAAATGCCTACTACTGACTGGTAGGGCAACTTGTCAGAATATAAACTAGCCTGCTCATTATGGCTTAAAGTAGAAACAAGTCACTGAGAGGCAAAAACAAACAAACAAAAACAACAACTATGCAAAACCGAAACTATTTCTGTTATAATGGTGCGATTGTGGCCGGTCAGATTTTTGTTTTGGAGGGTGGACAAAAGTGTTCTTAGTGTCTTTTCAACCTCATTTTTCAGCAAAGGAGGAGAACTGAAAAATCCTTAAATGAGATAACACATCTAGAAGTGGGTAGAGGGTGAGAGGAAGTAGTAGTCTTGCTCTAGAGAAAATACATCAACCGGAAATTTTGGACAATTTTTTTTCCAGAAAATTTGCCTCCTTGAAAAGTTACAAGCTGAAAACCTCCACGTGGTAGCCGCTAGTGGATCGATTCTGTGTTGTTCTGCTTTCTGTGTCTGAATCACTCTGTGGTCTTGGCCAAATTACTTGCACCCCAAGCCTCAGCTACCCACCTGTGAAATAAGAATGGACCAACAGCTTCCCATATTTGTTATAGTTAATAATGTCTGCAATATTAATTATAGTATTGATTGTAATGTATCTACAATCACACACACACACACACACACATATATATATATATATATTATTGTGATGAGTTAATGGAGTCAAGGTGATCACTCTAGTGTTGAAGGAAGATGATTCTGTGCCAGAATGCCAGAGAAGATATGGAGCACAGAACAATGAGGGGAATGGCTGTGTGTGTGTGTGTGTGTGTGTGTGTGTGTGTGTGTGTGTGTGAACATGAGCCAAAGCAAGTTCGTGTATGTGTGTGAGAGACAGACGCTGTTGCATGATCAGTCTCACTATAGTTTGCAGAATTTCAATCAGCTGTGCTTACCTGCAGAACTTTCTTTATGCAACAAGCATCTGGCCTCTAAACAAGGAAGCTCTGTCTTTCCAGCGGTCCTCCCAGAGGTGGCACCAGAATTGCTGTCTGAACCCTGGGTCAGTCAAGAACTCTCTGGAAAAGAAAGGACAGCTGCAAGCCCAGCGGAGTCTGGCAGAGTCCCTGGATGTGGCTGGAAAAGCACTCGCTCTTTCTTTCTTCTTTTGTGCATTGCTCCAGGGTCACAGGAGCTCCCCCGCCTGTGTATCTTTTACTCCCCAGTCTCCTCCTTTTCTCCTCTCCATTCACATTCGCCATCTGCTCCATTCTTCATTTTATCCCTCCAGAGCCTACTCAGTCATCCATAGCTACATCTTTCTATAGGGATGACAACAGATGATCATTGAGCAAAAGTATCTAAGCAAGCAGGTTGCTTGGATTAAGCCCTGGTTATTAAAACCAAAAAAAAAGGAAAACACGATCATTTCCCATTTATTTTTAATTTGGTAACTTTAACCTGAAACAAGATACCACACTGAGTTTCTCACATTTCCTTTTGCTTGCAAGAGTGTGCTGATTGACAAGGAGCACTGCAAACCAGAGGGATACGGGTTCACAGACCATTGTCTCACGGCTCAAGAATGAACTTTAATAGCGCATAATTAAGGCTGGTAGGAGATGAGAGAAAATGAGAATGAAGAAGCCCATTGCTCTTTCAATTTGTGGCTTCTACACAATATTAGCAGCAAGGGACACATATACTGGGAGAAGAGATTTCTGTCTCCCTATTTTTGTATTTCCTATTTTTTTTTAACATATTAAAGAATGCTGCTACCTTGGTCTAAGCAGTTGAGTATCTCTTGCCTGGATTATTGCAACACCCTTAATACCAGTTTCTTGGCTTCTACCCTTGAGCTCACTCTCAACAAAGCATTCTGAGTGGTGCTGTTAAAGCACATCAGGTCATGTAACTGCCTGCTCAGTACCCTTCCTGGGCTCCCCATCTCACTGCAAGCCACTTTCTTGCAGTGACCCTTGTAATGCGCAGTGGGCCCCCATGTTCTGTTCTGACCCACCTCACTACTGCTCTGCAGGCTCTCACTTCCCTCCGTCAACACCAGCCTTCTTGATCCAAAACCACGCGAGGCCCACCCCAGCCCAAGGCCTTTGCACTTGCCTTTCCCTTTGCCTGGAATGCACTTTCCCCACGTGGGTGCATGGCTTGCTCCCTTATATCCTCCAGGTCTTTGATCGAATGCCCTCTCCTTAGAGAGTCCTTCCCAGGCTCCCTGATACCAAATTGCGACCCTATTCCCAGTTTCACCCTTCTCTGTCCTCCTCCTCTGCTTCATTTTCCTTCAAAGCATGTATCAATTTCTAAAATACTACCAGGCTTACTTTTTAAAATCATCTCATCCCCACCTGCTTAAAAATGTAAAATCTGGATGGGGGGCAGGGATCTCTGCTCCCAAGAACAGGATCTGAGATTTAAAAAGTGCTCAAAAAATGTTTCCTGGGCCAGGCATGCTTCATGCCTGCAATCCTAGCACTCTTGGAGGACAAGGCTGGTGGATCGCTCAAGGTCAGGAGTTCAAAACCAGCCTGACCAAGAGTGAGACCCCATTTCTACTAAAAAAATAGAAAGAAATTAATTGGCCAACTAAAAATATACAGAAAAAATTAGCTGGGCATGATGGCACATGCCTGTAGTCCCAGCGACTCGGGAGGCCGAGGCAGAAGGATCACCTGAGCCCAGGAATTTGAGGTTGCTGTGAGCTAGGTTAACACCACAGCACTCTAGCCCGGGCAACAGAGTGAGACTCTAACTCAAAAAAAAAAAAAAAAAAAAGTTTGCTGAATGAATGAATGAATTGCACAGTTGTGACAGACACTGCGATTCTCCCAACAGCAATTCCTCTTTCCTTCCTTGCTAAGAACTCTGATTTTTCTTGGGGAAGCAGTCTACTCTGCCATGCGGTTGCATTGCTCTGGGCCCGTGGTAGGTAGCCTGTTCCTGCCCCATGTTCCACTACAGCAGAGGGTGTCATGAGACCAGTTCTGGCTGATGACACCTAAAGAAAGTAGCTTGGTGGCCTCTGAATTCATTAATTTGGGGAATGCATAAATCCTCCAGTTCTTTCCCCTTTGGGGCAAAAGCACGTGTAAGCGTCAGATGTATGTCACCCCAAGAGAGTTTTCCTCTTTCAATAGGGCAGTTCCCCCTGCCACTCCGTAAGACGGAGGTCAAAAACTGGTGACCCTTGAGCTACAGTCATGACGCTTTGTTTGGTCTTTGTGGTATTTTGAGTTTTAGAATTAAGTGATTGCCAGCATTTAGAAACTGAAGACTACACATACTGATTGTCAGCTTCTCTTTAAAAATGGGATGATTTGGCAATCATAGGTCAGATTCATGCACGAGAACAATTGTCTTGGCAATTAAGTGGCAATGCCCCAGTTTAGATGTTGGCCAAAGACCTCAACCAGACAGTGTGTTACTTGCCTGGGTCTGGCTGACATTTGTATTTGCAATTGCTCATATGAGTGTGTGTAGACAGTGTGACCCAACTCCCTGATTTGCCCAGGACTGCCCTGGTATGTGTTGCCTTCTGTATCAGGGTAATTACCAGAACACCCTCCAGCCCCTATCCCTTGGCCCATTCCATTCTCCAAAGTGTGCCGGTTTGGATAACATCTTATCCTACCGATAGCCACAAAGGTGCTTGGAGCACTGGGGCAGGGCCATGTGGGCTGAGTGACCTGCCCAGGGTGGGGTGGGGGTGGGGGTTCACATTCACATCCTTCCTCCATTGACAATAAAGGATCCTAATTATGGCTTTTTAAATTATTTGTACCTCTGTGATTCATTCATAAGGGGATCATTTTCATGAACTTTTTAAAAATCATTCTAGTTGTCATTAACTTAAAAAAAAATCTTTAGATAATCAGTGTAATTCTCATGTTTCTAGTCTTCAGAAGCTACAACCCATGTCTTAAATTTATCCCACTGAAGAAATCTTTTAATTTATTTTTAGCAGCCTATATATCAGGAAAAATAGTAACATATCCAGGAATGCATCTTTTTTTTTTTTTTTTTTTTTACCTCTACTTCTTACTAACAAGTGCTGGGTCTGGCAGCCATGGCTACGGAATGTGTAGCATCTTATCCCATAAATCCCACAGTTACAAGGGAATGAAAGATGGATCTTGTCAGCTTTATGGAGTCCTAGAGGGGAGAAAAACAGGGAAACCTGCTCTTTGAGCAGGCATAAAACCAGAGGTGGTAAGAGTATTTCATGGCCCCTGCAAAATGGTAACAATTTTATTAACGACTCACTTTCCTATTTCAGTAATATGGTGAATAATTGGGGATTTGAAAAAAAAATCTTTATATGTAACTTTCACTGTTATGGTAATATTTTCAGGTACACCAGAGCCTATACAAGTCCCAAGCACATTGGATTATTTGCAAAAAAATGGTTATTTGTGACGATACTTAATGTTGCCATTTACTGAGACTTCCTGCCACTACATCCATCTCTAACTTGACAGGTAAAGTAGGGAAGATTTTGCAACAGAGTAAAATGTTGGGCAATTTATGGTTTTTA